GAGCAGGGGCAAGGGGGGGTGAGCAGGGAGGAGCAGGGGTGTGAGCAGGGGCCAGTGGTGTGTGAGCAAGGGCGAGCAGGAGTGTGAGCAGGGGCAAGGGGGGTGATCAGGGATGAGCAGGGGTGTGAGCAGGGGTCAGTGGTGTGTGAGCAAGGGCGAGCAGGGGTGTGAGCAGGGACAAGGGGGGGTGATCAGGGATGAGCAGGGGTGTGAGTGCTCCTCCTGACACTCAACACAAAGTGTGAAATGACCCCAGAAGCACTCTCCAAATTAAAAACACTGGACGGGAGCAAACAAGGCCTCTCATCTCAGTGCCCTGGCCTTGTCCCCGCCCGTCCCTCCTCCTCATGCAGGAGCAGCTTGTGCCACACACCACCATCCCCTGGAGTACCCGTGTTCGGGAGTCTGCCTGCTGTGGACAGGCACGTGGTCTGAGGAAGGTCCAGGGTGGGTGAAAGCGGGCTGTGTGGGTGTGAGGGACCTTTCTTGAGTCTGGGGATGGAGCCTGGTTTCTGTGGCACAGGGAGCTCTGTCCCTGCTGCCGCACTATGCCTGCCTGTCCCTGCTGTTTGGGACAAGCCCAGGGCCTGGTGGAACATTTGGTGATATTAGGCTCAAAAGCTGAGCTGTGAATTTTGCCCCATCTCTGCTGCCATGACAGATGGGCTCGGAGGCACAGTCCTCACTGCCCCAAGGAACCACTGCGACCTGCCCAATTCCACGACTCCACCAATCGCCTCCACAGCATGGGGCATGAGTCGTGCACACAGGAACCACCTGCTTCGTCCACACTTGGAGTGCAGGGCACTGAAGAATAAGTCATCCTTTCTCAGGGGAGTGTGGGAAACCTGGGTGGGGGCTGCTTAGACGGAGGGCGAATGGTCGGGGAGACCTCAGAACTGAAGCCTGCAGCCTGTGCTGCACCCCTCTGCCCTTTAGTATGTATGGCTCACAGAGCTTCCCTACCCACAGCAGGGACCCAGCGCCTCATCCCCAGAGGCCTCTCATCCAAGAGGAGGCTGAAGACTCAGATTTGGATAGAGGGCAGCGATGGCTTTGACCCGGGCCCCTTCTCCATGGCCGCAGCAGTAAGCTCACTCTGGCCCAGATGTACCTGCCATTTTCTGGTCCCTGGGAGTTCTCTTGCTGCACCCACGGGACCTCTCTGTGTCTAGCAGGCCCTGGGCACTGGGTGTGCTCTTGCACATGGGCGTGCAGGGGCATGAGGGATGGATCACTTGACCTTCAGCAGTGATGGAGGTGATGGCAGGTCAAGCACCTCTCTTGTGGTCAGAGAGCTGCCAACTGGCTTCTCAGGCCTTCGTCCACTCCTCAGCACGAGTTCTGTGAAATCTTCGTCCATCTCTGTCCACTTGAGCTGGAGACCTACAAATCCCCTCTTGCTCATTCTACACAGATTCGTAAGCATTAGCTACTAACATGCACCGACACTGAGTGTGTGCAATAGTGAGAGATTTAAGTTTAAGCAGCCACATAACAGGGGAAATGGGTCAGAAACTACATGAGAAGCAAAATGTTGAAGGCGCTTTTGGGGTCCTGCCTATGGAGCAAGCCAGGGCCTCTCCACATGCCGGGTCTCCCCTGCCCCGTGTCTGTCTGCTGCCGTGGCCTGGACATCTTCTCCTGGGAGGGGCATGCCCTCCAGGTGCTGGCGCCCAGGACAGAGGCAATGCCTCATGGAAGGTCCCCTCCCACTCAACCTGTAGCCCTGTGGCCAGTAGCAGAGTCCAGCCTGAGATTCCCTGCTCTACTGGGGCTGCCCCGTGCAGTTTCCAGGGAGGCTGGCGGCACCACTCTGACCCACTGTGGAGACGGTGGCTCTGCAGAAGCCCAGCTTCATTTCTGACTCTCTGCAGAGAAGTGAGAGTGGACCTCTGGGCCTTGGATTTGAACCTGTAGGTAGTGCTACAGGGGCTGGGCCCTGGGAATTCCTCTGAGCTGCTCTGTAATCTGCTGGGGTTAGTATCCTCATGTGGACGCTGCCCGCAGGTCATCTTGGCTGTCCCAAGGGATGGAAAATTGGAGGGTTCTTGAGAGAGTCAAGACCTTGAAACGGTATCAGATTCTAATTGCACTGGAAACCTTCCAGCTTCCCCACGAGCACAGCGTGTGGAATGTGGATGGCCTGCTGATTCTCAGCAGAGCTGAGCTGAAGCAGCCAACTCAGCAGGGCCATTTTTTCAGAAGCATCTGGTTAAGCTTGCAAGCATTGAAACAGCAAAATGGGACCAGCCGGCAACCACAGAACATGCAAAGAACAGAGAGGGTGTGCATGCAGACGGGGGCACCACAGCCCCCCTCCCAGACAACGGAGGCCATAGGCAGGGAAACCCTGTGATTGGGCCAGCATCAGCCTTCTGTTCTTCTGGTGGAGCTGCCGCCACAGGACCAAGGCCATTCTCTGGAGTGCCTGTGGAGCAGCATTAGTGCCAGCTGGGATCAGCGCCCAGCCAGGAAGGGATGTGGCCAAGTCTAACGTCTTGCTCAGGACCCTCCTAGGTGCACCATGGCCTCTGCAGGCTCATGAGCAGGGACATCAGGTTTGCTGCCCCTTATTCACTCCTGCAAGTACCCAGAGCACCTCCCAAAGAACAGAGGCAAGAGTTGCTCCCAGGATGCTGGATGGCTCCCGTGAGGAGACCGTGGGGAACAGCTTCCTGCAGAGCCAGGGGAGGGCCTGAGGTCCTGAAGGGCTCTGCTGATGGCCCCGCACAGACTCCTCGCTGCCTGAGGCTCT